GGCGACGGCATAGGCTGCAGTCCCTGTGGCAGTGGGTTGCCATGGGCTACTGTGTGTAGCCAGCAGCCAGCGTGAGTGGCCAGCAAAATATTAAAATCACAAACATTTTAGATGTGTGAACACTGAAAAATGTTGGAATTTGATTTATATATTTGACCTACCAAAAGACAAAGGACTGTTATTTCATCATTAACAAAAATTTTTTGACATTTCAAACGTTAACACTTAGGAAAAAAGTTTAACTGAACTGGTCTTAAATCAATAGGTATAAACAAACGGTCTTAGACAAAAATACATGAAACCAGATGGGAAGGTTTAACCCAAACTATGACATACCCAAATCATGACCCGGGGAAAAAGACAAATTGCTAATATACCGTCTGCCTTTTCTTTCCAATATGTCTATATGTTACTCTCCTTAGCAGCAATTCTTAAACTTTAGAAAATCTTTGGAAAACTACAAATCTTCTCTCCCAGAAAAATGAACACACAAAATTTTACATGCAGTTTCAGGGGGTCTGCCCATTCCCTGGATCCCCGAGGGGTACAAACACACCCGTCTGCTGCAGGGCAGATTTAACTTTCTCGTGTTTGTAATGAACATTTAGATTAGGTTTGTAAATTAAATGTTTCTTTACTTTCTTTGCTCTTCTTCATACTCCCTTTTCTCCCAATATCTCCAACATATCTATAGTCATTAATGAATTAACAGTTGAATGAAAGAACATCATTAAAATGTGGAAATAAAAGACCTTAGCATGAACCCCAAATGGCACCAAACCAGGTATATGACCCTGGACAAGCCAATTAATCTCACTCAATCTCAGTGTGTTCCCTGTAAAGCTAGAATAACAGTACACCCACACCTATCTAATCTGATAACATAGGCAAAGTTCCTGTACATGAGGCTTTCAGTGCTGGTTCCTTCCTATTTGAGAAGATTTTCTTTTTTTCCTGAAGAAGTTACAGATTATGGATGGCAGAGCAGAGATTTATGTAATTTTAGAGTTTGTTGCATGCATTTTTCCATAGTAAACATGAGGTAGTAAAAATGAGAGAAAGGAAGGGCCGGCTGAGTGGCTCAGTTGGTTAAGAGCTCGCTCAAGAGTTTGAGCTCTGAGCAACAGCAGTTCAATTCCTGGCCTGAGCTGAGCTGCCACTGAGCTGCCAACAGGTGGCAGGATGGCTCAGCTAAAAAAGAAACAAAAAACAAAGAAACACTTTGATTTTGGGGGGCGGGGGAGGGAAAGGGGTAGTGTAAGCTGCTGTAAACCTCTGGGATGCTGTTTGCATAAAGTATGAAGAATATGAAAAGTTAAAAAAAAATGAGAGAAAGGAAAAGGTTGGGAAGAGAAAGATGAAAAAATGAAATAGGCTACAAACAACCAAAGAAAGAATATAAACTGAACTTTATCAAATTAAAAAACTTTTGTGTGTTGAAGGACACCCATCAAGAAAGTAAAGAGACAGAGTAGGAACAAATATTTGCAAATCATAGATCTGATAAGGGTCTATATCCAGAAAATATAAAAAACTACAATTCGGGCTGGCCAAGTGGCACGTTGGTTAGGAGTTGGCTTGGGACGCCAGCTCTGAGCAGCAGGGCCCCAGTTCGGATCCCACATTAGAGCCAGTGATGCTTCGCCCTCTACAGCTAAGATGTTGAACAACAGCTCGGCCTGGAGCTGGGCTGCTGTGAGTCACCGGCGACGGCGTAGGCTGCAATGGGGCTGCAGTGGGCTGCCATAAGCTACCGTGAGTGTCTGGCAGTCAGCATGAGCTGCCAAAAGCTGCTATGAGCGGCCATCCAGTGGCCGGCAACCGATCTGCCTCAGCCTCAGGGAAGAGCACAATGATAATACCAACATGGGTCAGTGAAGCGACGTCCTGCACAACTAGACTGAAGAACAAGAGGATAGCAACTTGTCTGTTCCCCTTCCCCAATTCCCCAATGCTGTTCCCCTCCCCCAACTCCCCAATAAAATCTTTTAAAAAACAAACAAAAAACCCCCTACAATTCAACAATAAAAAGACAAATAATCCCATTTTAAAACGGGCAAAGCACTTGAATAGACATTTCTCCAAAGATGATATACAAATAGCCAACAGGTACAGGAAAAAATGCTCAATATTTTTAGTTATTAGAAAAATGCAAATCAAAATCACAACAATATAGCACTTCATACCTACTAGCATGGCTATAATAAAAAATGGAAGAGTAGCAAATGTTTGCTGGGAGTGGAAACATTACTGATGGAAATATAAACTGGTATAGCCACTTTTGAAAACAGTTTGGCAGTTCCTCAAATGTTTAACATAGAGTTACCATATGACCCAGCAAATTCCACCCCCTAGGTATGCACTCAAAGAGAACTGAAAATATATGTTCAAACAAAAACTTGTATATAAATGTTCACAGCAGCGTTACTCATAGCAACCAAAAGGTAGAAATAATCCAAATATGTATCAAATGATAAATGCATAAATAAATGTATATCCATCCACACAATGGACTATTATTAGTCATAAAAAGGAATGAAGCCCTGATAACATGGTACAACACAGATGAATCCTGAAAACCCTGCGCTAAGTGAAAGAAGCCAGACACAAAAGAAGCCCATCACAAACTGTATGATTCCATTTATACAAAACGGTCAGAATAAGCAAATCTATGGAAACAGAATGTGATTGACAAGAGCTGGGGGTAGGGAGAAAGCGGGGAGTGATTGCTAATGGGTTCCAGGTTTTTTTTTAAGGTGATGAATATGTTTTGGAAATAGATAATGGTGATGGTTGTACATCTGAATATACTAAAAACCCTGAATTGTACCCTTGAAAATAGTGAATTAGGTGGTAGATGAAATTATATTTCAATAAAAAATAATAAATAAAATGAAATAGGCTACCTGGACACTAATAGCCCAGAGGTGGTTGAAATAATAAGATTATCTGAAAATTATGATATTTTATATAAAAATGACATTACTGATGTACTGGCTAGGTCACAAACTACAAACTGTGCTCTAACAGCAGTGATGCAATGAGACTGAGTGCTGAGCGGCAGGGCATCTGGACCGCTCTATGTGGGGCTCTGCCTACTGCTGGGAAGGTGGACTGACTTACCTTGCTGCCCTCAGTTTTCTCCACTATACACTGAAGTGCTTCCCTTCCATCACTGACATTTACTGTTTGTGCTGATCATTTGTTTCCATTCCCTGGCCTAATTCATCTGGTCACCTACCACCGTACTGTAATGCCCAACCTTTTTAACATTAAGGGCTATTATATACTCCCCTCTCCCGCTCCCACCCCTTTGCCACGGTCCCACTGAGCACTGATTCAAAAACTTGTAAGAATTTGCATTCAGGTCACACTTTTTTATTTTCTTCTAACCAAATGTGAAAAATTGCCTATCATAGCTTTTTGGTTAGACTGTCCAGCTTTGCCATAATTTCCATTTGACTTTTCAAACATGAAAATTAGCTTATGAATCTCAGGCTGGGGATGGACGCCTGGGTTAAGGGACTATATTATCTACAGACTTGAAATAAGAATGACACTAAATGGGACTGAGACCACAGCCTTAACCATGGTATAAACAAGTTTTTCCAAAGACAACACTGGGTCCAACCACACTTTCTCAGGGTGGAGAGAGATGTCACCACATTTAACACCGTTCCTTGGATGATTCTATGCAATCATCTGCCTTCATCAGGAAGCACTGAAGGCAATCTGCCAAATGGGACGCAGAAGAAACCCACGAAGCCTCAGATACCTGCCATACCCACTGCTACCTTTGCTTTTTTTAAAGGTCCCCCCTGCTTTTTTAAAAACATGAGTTGTAGGCTGAGCAAAACAATACCAGGAAACAATGCCATGACCGTGTCAAAATTCAAGGCAAAAGTGTCCAACTACTCCGTAGGTGGCGAAGAACACAACTTGACTCACCAGACTGTTCTGTGTTGGATGCTGGCAAACTGACCGAAGGCTCTGCCCTACCTGTAGGGAAGTAAAGCGGGACACAGAGCAGAGGGGTTACTGGGGTTTGGGTTGGTCCCCTAACCATAATGAGTTACGGTAAATGAGTCTTCACAGGATGTCCAATGCATGAGTCTTGAAGTGGTGGAACTGTGCTAAAACTGCTGCCTCTCACACACGGGGGTTACCTGTAAATACCCACATCTCCTTTTTTCCTCCAAAGATAGAAATAGATTTTTAATTTTTTTCTGATTGTAAAAGTGAAGTTTATAGGTCAAAAGGGTTTATATACTAAGCGTTTTCTGTCCAATTCCCACACTCTACTCTTTATTCACAAGCTTTGACTATCACCTACATGCAAAGTATCAGGGTCTAATATACGGAGAAGATATTTATTCATTTATTACTTCAAATAATTATTGTACAGGGCCTAACCTTCACAAGCTTAAAATGTGTTTGGGAAGCAAGAACTATACACAAAAATAGGTCACAACTGTCAAATAAAACAAATGGTATTTAAAAGGTGCCATATAATTATGTCAAAGGGCAAGAAAGATGGAGAATGGACAGGGTGTGGGAGGCCCCATGCGGACAGAGCATTAGGTCTGCGCGAAGTCCTGAAGAGTGGGAAGAATCTGAAAAGACAGAGAGGAAATTATTAATAGAAGACAGGAGAGGGCTATGTGAGTAAAGTTGTCACCGTGAATAAGCACAGTATATTCAAGGGATGATATGGGCCAGCCGAGTGACCCGTTGGTTAAGAGTTGGCTTGGGACGCCAGCTCTGAGCAGCAGGGCATCGGTTCGGATCCCACATGAGGGCCAGTGGTGCTGCACCCTCTACAGCTAAGATGGTGAACAACAGCTCGACCTGGAGTTGGGCTACTGTTAGTCGCGGGCGATGGCGTAGGCTGCGGTGGGGCTGGCTGGCAGCGGGCATGAGCTTTTGTGAGCTGCTGTGAGTGGCTAGCAGCCGCTGTAAGCGGCCGTCCAATGGCCAACGACCGATCTGCCTCACCCGGGAAGAGCACAATGGTAATACCAACACGGGCCAGTGAAGCGACATCCTCCACAATTAGACTGAAGAACAAAAGGACAGCAACTTGTCTGTTCCCCTCCCCCAATTCTCCAATAAAATCTAAAAAAAAAGGGGGATGATAAAGGCCTAGAGAAAGGAATCACATAGATTAGCAGGTGATAAAGTTATAAATGTAGAGAGTAGGGATAGAAAACAGAGGTTTTGATTAGAGGACTGAAAAACACAGGCATCACTGAAGATGGCAGAGAGAGCCAAAAAAGGGGAAATCAACAGAATTTGCTCATTAGATGTAAAGAATAAAGAAAGAAAAGGATCAAAGATGATTTCGAGGGCTGGCCAAGTGGCTCAGTTGGTTAAGAGCGTGAGCTCTGGGCAACAGGGTCATCAGTTCAATTCCCACATGGGCCCTTGAGCTTCGCCTGAGCTGAGCTGCAGTGGAGCTGCCAACAGGTGGCAGGATGGCTCAGCTGATGAGAGCACGTGCTCCTAATAACAAGGTTGCTGGTTCGACTCCCGCATGGGATGGTGGGCTATGCCTACCTGCAACTAAGACTGAACACGACACCTTGAGCTGAGCGGCCGCGAGCTGCCCACGGAGGGCCAGTGGCGACTGGACTTGGAGTTGAGCTCGCTGCGCTCTCCACAACTAAGACTGAAGAACAACAACTTGGCTGTTCCCCTTCCCCAATTCCCCAACACTGTTCCCCTTCCCCAATTCCAAAAAAAAAAAAAAAAGGTGATTTCTACAATTTAAATTTCTATTCCTATGTCTAATAGGAAAACATAGCTAGGAGAGATCAAATCCAGGGATCACATCTAATTCTTTCTTTTGCACAGTGTCTAGACAAGCTTTTTACTAAATATTGCTAAGGTTCCTTTATAATGACAACCACTGCCAAAAAATGAAGTCCTAACGTCCTTCAAGATTAGGTCCTTCACTTTGTCTTTCTAACCTCTTTTCCCTCCTTATCCCTCCACAAACCCTATGCACCAGCCTTAGGGTCTACAATGTTCCCTGAGCATGCCATATAATTTCTCTATGTCAGTCATTAGTGTATTCTGCCCCTTCCAGCCGAGTATGCCCTTATCTTCTTCCCTAACAACTGAATCTCACTAATATTCAGTTCAAATACCACTTACTCCTTCTGAAATTCCCCAGCCCCTAGCACTTCTCCTGTTTGTATTTCCACTCTAATGCTCCTACCTCTATTATACTTATTTCATTTCATTTTGTATGAGAATTGTTCACATTCCCATTACCAGTGACTGGTTTAGAAGTGGGCCCATGACCAAGTTTTGGACCATGAGATTTAAGTGGAAGTCAGCTGGAAGCCTTCTGAGAAAGATTTCCAAATTCTTAAAAAGCATAAGAAAGCAGTAACCACCACCTTCTGCTGGATTTCGTCTTGCCTGGACATGACGCCTGGAAACTGTTGTGCCCATCTTGCATCCATGATGGGAGTTGGCCAAAGGACAAAGCAGACATGTCCAAGATGGCAGAGCAGAAAGGTGGATAGAACGTGGTTCTTGATGATGTTGCTAAACCTACAGATTTAAAGGCATCTTGTTACTTATAATGATAAATTTTTCTTATTTTCAGATTATTTTGAATTGAATTTTCTATCATTTTAGCCCAAAGCATCTTAATTTACACAGTCATGTTTGAGATGCAAATCAGGCATCTAAGTAGAGATGTCAAGGTGTCAACGGGATAGATACAGAAAGAATTGAAATTTGGGGGCTGGGAAGGCAGGATAAAGAGAGAAAAGAAAAGAAAGCTACAGGGCACCCTAAGGGCAGGGGAGAAAGAGCCAACAAAAAAGACAGAAGAAATGAACTCTGAGGTAAAATGAAAACACTAAACTACAGTGCACAGAAGCCAAGAGATAAAATTTTTTAATTCTTTCAAGAAAGAAGAACCCATCAACTTTATGAAATGCTGCGAAAAAACTGAGTAAGACAGGGGCTGGCCGAGCGGCTCAGTTGGTTAAGAGCACGAGATCTGAGCAACAGGGTCGTCGGTTCGATTCCCACATGGGCCAGTGAACTGCATGTGAGCTGAGCTGCCACTGAGATGCCAACAGGTGGCAGGATGGCTCAGCTGGTGAGAGCACGTGCTCTTAACAACAAGGTTGCCGTTCGACTCCCGCATGGGATGGTGGGCTATCCCCACCCACAACTAAGACTGAACATGGCACCTTGAGCTGAGCAGCCACGAGCTGCCGCTGGGCAGCCGGATGGCGACTAGACTTAGAGCTGAGCTAGCTGCGCCCTCCACAACTAAGATTGAAAGACAACAACTTGGCTGTTCCCCTCCCCTAATTCCCCAATAAAATCTTTAAAAAAAACCAAAACTGAGTAAGACAGAGAAAAGTGACCACTGGATTTACTGACTGAATAATTCCAGAACATGAGGGCTCCGTTGTCCCTCCACAAGGTTCCTACTCCCTGGAAAAACAGCAGTCTTGCGTTAGTATAATGATCACAGGAACAGACTTGGGCTGAGTTCTGGCGCTTTCACTAGCTGGGGGGCCTACTCAACCAGCAGGTTGTAGTGTGATGAGGGGGGAATGGAAGCTGAGGAACAGGAGCTAGAGTGGGACTCAAAACAGAAAAGGCCTGAGTATGGTTTTCAAAGATGAGAGAGACTTGAGTATGTTTAAATGCTGGTGGGAAGGAGCACCTCTTACCACAAAAGAGCTCCATTATAAAAAGAAAAACAAAAACATTTTGGAATTCATCACAGCAGGAAGTTAGTTCATTAAGCTTTAAAAAATTATATATAGAAAAAAAGCATGATAAAACCACAATCTTGAGCTCCACCTCATTTCAGAACATATCAACCAAAAAAATAAAGATACATTACAAAAGGTAGTAATAGTAAATGAAAAGTGCTTCATTTTCTCTTGGTTACATTATAAAGATGATTCCAATAGTAAAACAAACTCAAAGTCCTAAACCACAAAAGCCTAGATATTTTAAAAGCCAAGGAAATCTATAACACAGCGATCTAAAACTATTTGGAATACCCTCCTAAAACACTTTCAGTCTTCAATACATTCTCAAATCTGAGGTATTTTTCCCTTTGGTCGTACTGAAGAAATATGTTCTCTGGAGATAAGCTTTCTATAAACGTGTGTACAACCACGTAAGAAAATATTAAAACGTTTTTATCTTCACTTCAGGAAATTCAAAAACTTAAAACCACTCCAAATTAAAATATGACCACTTCAAAGAAAAGGGGATCATGTCAAAGTCAAGACCAAAACAGCTTTTGAGACAAACCACTGCATGTCGCAGAAACAGTAACCCAGTTTCATTTTGAGTATTGTGTTTGTTGCCCTCAGCGATCTGCAACTTTCGAGCAAGATTTTTTCATTAAAGGCCAGATAACAAGTAAAGCAAGGGGGAGGTGGGGGGGAAATCAATACATCTTCATGCTATAACACAGTTCAACTCTTCAGTTTAAGGAAAGAAAAGCACAGTCCTTATGAACACACAACCAAATATATGTATCCTATTGACAAGCATCTGTTACTGTGAGATAACACTGAAATTTTAACTCAAGGCTAAATTACAGAACATGTGGCAATTTAATGATGTGCTCGTGAGGAGAAAAGAACCCTTACAAAATTGTACACCTGAAACCTATGTAGCTTTGCTAACAATTGTCACTCCAATAAACTTTAATTAAAAAAAAAAAAAAGAACCCTCAACATCACGCAAAATCATTCTTGGCTATTTGCTCCCTGGCACAACAACTGGTCAGTAATAACTTGAGCGAGGAAAGCCAATCGACGTTTAAATACACAAGTTTTTCCCACATAGGATTTTTAATTATCTTTTCCCAAAATATGGTTCTCTACATTGAATTGTAAATGACTGTGTATATTTCAGTACGACAAAAAGCCCGAACAGCCACATTTCTGAATGAACCACCTGTTTCAAAACACTATCTCCCCATAAACTCCAGAGAAGTTACTTGCAGGGAATAAACTAAATTAGTAACAATACACACTTCAGACATTTACATTTTACCTGCAATGGAATGTCTAAAAAATGAGCCTATGAACAGCAAAGGCACTGCGCCCAAGAGGGAGTGAACAGACCCCTGGCTTGCAGACAGATGAGTAGTTGGAGGAAACGCTCATGTGGGGAGATAATTTTTATACAATGATTTTCTTAATCTAAAGAAAACCACAGCTCTTCACAATATATGTGCTATAAATAGATGTAATCAGTAAAAAACCTGAATAAATATTTGTTTGCTTGCTTGGTCTTTTTTTTTTTTTTAATAACTTTTGTCATAACCCAAATCCAATGAGTGGTCAAGATAACCAAGCCAACATAACCTAGCAGGTTGTCCAGTCAGAGGCCTGGGGACATATGACAATGTCTAATTCCCCTTTATTTATGTAGAAGAAAAGGTTTTAATTAGTAATATAGGTTTTTGTTGTAGTATCTTTAAGTATACTTCCCTTTCCAGAGTCAAAGAATTTTCGCATTTTTTCTATCACCACGTTTTAAGAAACGTGGCTAGAGAAATCAAAGATAGTTTTGATCCTAGAAACATTGTTCAAGTGATCACTCCCTCCCTCCCTAGCTCCTCCCTGCCAAAAAACCCCACATTTATCTAAGAATCACAAAGTTCCTGTCAAATAAGTAATAGTCTTTTTTTTATAAAGGGAGGAAATTAAGGCCCACTGGCTAAAAAGTGAGTCAGAGAAACTCTGAGAAAGCAAGAGCTAGCTGAATATAGAACCGCAATGCTCTTTTCTTCCTTAACATGAAATCCAACCAGAGGAAAGACAACGTTTTTGGGGGGAGAGTGGAGGAGAGGGTTGGTGATAAGGAAGTAATCTAAATTTTCTAATGTTTTTACAATGAACATGTATTATTTCTGCAATAAACAAAACTACTCCTAAACTGAAAAAATAAATTAATTTATCAAACCCATTCAGATTCAATGTATGAGATCACTTAGATGCAAGTATGGATGAAAGAACATTTTTTTTAAGTGCAAACAGAATGTAACTAAGCATAAAAAAAGAACACTTAAAATCTACACCATGCCTCAAATTATCAGCAGACTTTAAGTAACATTCAACAAATATTTATTGAGCACCCACTATGTGTGTAGGGCTACAGATATAACTGTGACCATGATAGATATGATCCCTGGTTTCAGGCTTACAATATCCCAATTAGTTTATAAATAGGGTGACCATATGTCCTACTTTGCTGGGCAAAGTTATGATTTATGCCCATTTCTCCCAGAGTAATTTTTTTTAAAAGATTTTATTGTGGAATTGTGGAAGGGGAACAGTGTTGGGGAATTGGGGAAGGGAAACAGCCAAGCTGTTGTCCTTCAATCTTAGCTGTGGAGAGTGCAGCTAGCTCAGCTCCAAGATGGTGAATCTGGCTGCCCATTGGCAGCTCACGGCCACTCAGTTCAAGATGCTGTGTTCATTCTTAGTTGCTGGTGGGCGTAGCTCACCATCCCATGCAGGAGTTGAACTGGCAACCTTGTTGTTAGGAGCATGTGCTCTCATCAGCTGAGCCATCCTGCCACCTGTTGGCAGCTCAGTGGCAGCTCAGCTTGTGTACAGTGTACTGGCCCATGTGGGAATTGAACCAATGACCCTGTTGCTCAGAGCTCGCGCTCTTAACCAACTGAGACACTCAGCTGGCCCCAGAGTAATTACTAATAATGTCCCTCTCACACATCTCCCAGTCTAGACAATAAATTATACTGTTACCCATTTATGCAAAAACAAACTACTGTTGGGTCGGCCGAGTGGCACGTTGGTTAAGAGCTGGCCTGGGATGCCAGAGGGCCCCAGTTCAGATCCCACATATGAGGGCCAGTGACACTGCCCTCTACAGCTAAGATGCTGAACAACAGCTAAACCTGGAGCTGGGTTGCCATGAGTCGCCAGCAACGGCAAAGGCTGCAGCCCCTGCTGCAATGGGTTGCCATGGGCTACCGTATGCAGCCAGCAGCCAGTATGAGTGGCCAGCAACCGCTGTGAGCGGCCGTCCAGAAGCCGGCGACTGATCTGCCTTGCCCACGAAGAGCGCAATGATGGTGCCAACTTGGGCTAGTGAAGCAACGTCCTCCACAGCTAGACTGAAGAACAAAAGGACAGCAACTTTTCCTGGTAGAATTATATGCCACCAGTTATCAAACAGTCTTGTCCCACACCCACGAGAAAAATTAAACCTTAATCTGATCAAGCCTGTAGATCTAAAAACCAATTTACAGGAAATAAAAGGGATTGAGGAAGATGTTAAGTGATACCACATGGACGCAATCAGCAAAATCCAGACTATCGGAAACTAAACAACAAATGACCTGGATTCGTCAACAAAAAAAATTCAAGGAGGGAGGGAGGGAGGAAGGAAGGAAGGAAGGAAGGAGAACCAATAGATTTAAAGAGACTTAACAGGCATATTAACCAATCATTCTTCCTTGGACCCTAATTTGACATTCTAGCCTGTTTCTGAATATTGAAAAAACAAATATGAGTCAAATGGGAAATATA